TTCTACAGCCTAACACTGACCACCAACCCTAAAGCTAACCTGACCCTAAAATTAACCAAAACTCAATTCACACCTTGGTCCTAATGTTTATCGAACACACACACAAACACGAACACACACACACACACACACACACACACACACACACACACACACTTACAATCAGGGTAATGGATGTTGATGGAGATTAGAGTGGGAACTCCCACTGGGACCCAAACGCATTAGGAATCATCTCATACAGATTACTGACAGGTGTGTGAGAAAGTGTGTTTGTGTGTGTGTCAGTGTGAATAAGAGAAGTAGAATGAGTAATAACAAAGACAGAAATAAAGGGTGGGGGGGGATTTCAGAGAAGGTTGAAGGTGGGTGAATGACACAAAAACACGGGATGGGGATGATCAGATGAATAAAAAACAAAAACAAACATAAAGGGGGTTAAAAATAATCCATAAGAGAGGCTGACTAAACAGGGAGGATATGTAGCTGCTGCTATACAACCATTTACATGTTGTAGCTACTCCCATTTTGTGGTCTGAAATAACTGCAATAACCACAATCAGCCCACGGCATGAATGACGCCAGACTTTGATTGTCGTGTCATGTTCCTTATACTGAAAGGAACTCAACGTACGCGCACACAAACACGCAACGCCGTTCTGAACAAATCGTTTGGATCCATAAAAGTGTGTGTGTGTGTGTGTGGGGGGGGGGGGGGGGACCTTATAAGAGTGAGTTTTGCGTGTACTTCCAGATGAGTGAGGAATGCGCAGATATCAACAGAAGCTTTGTTTTGTTAGCTGGAGTGAGGTGGGGCTCAAAACCTAAGCACTTGTTTGTTGACTTTACTCATCCAAAAAAAAGGGGGGCTAAAAAATAAATGGAAAACGAACTGAGATAATGGTGGATGAAATGATAGCAAAAGCGGAGAAAAAAAAACGAGGCTTGAAAATGAAAACAAAGTTTATATGTTTGAAATGTTTTGAAATTAATCCCAGAGAAGTGTATTTGAACAATTTTTGATCGGGTGACATGATTCTGAGAAAGGTGGCACCACATGTCAGGCCCTGACCACATAGTCTGAGAGTCATCCCCTGGCAGAAGTGTGTCACTTCCACCTGTTTTGATGGAATAGTATATTGGGCAGGGGATGGGAATGGGGATACGTTTACACACACATGCCAAGAACACAACTCTGCCTAGCAACACTGTGCCAGTGTGGATACTGTAATCTGAATCCTTGTGGGCAGTGCCATTTCTTGCTTGTCTCTTTAAAAAAAAAAAAAAAGAAGCATTGATCTGAAAAATGTCTTACCCGTATGAGTCCTGAGGTGGGCTTTCAGATGGGACGACTTGGTGTAGACCTTCTTACAACCTAAAGACAAAACGAGATAAACACAAACAGACGGTTTAGGCAAAAAAAATAAATAAAATAAATAAATAATCTGCATGTGTCAGATATGCATTTTCCCAATAAACCGAGCTGCGGTATGCAAGAAATTTGAACTAATGAAATGCAGAAGCTGTCTGGAATGAAACGGAGGAGTCAAAAAAACAGGCCTATCATACCTCTTTGTTCAAACTATGTTGTGGCTGTGGATAAAAAAAAAAAACACGTTTACTGAAACACTGTTCGTCTGAAAACTGCAAGTGTGTAGATTATAGTGTCAAAAAGTAAGAAAACAAAAAACAAGAGTTATAACCATTTTAAGCACTGCTTTAATTAAACTTAGCACTTGCCCGAGTTCAAATAGTAGATAGTTATGTGAAAGGTGGATTTATGGAAATGATATATTTGCTTCATCTCACTCGGGAAGACGTGTCCTAACCTGCTCCCAGAACTCACCCTAAGCCTGTTTTACATGCTGCCACAGGCTAGTTAACATCACCGGTTTCAGAGGTAGCTGCACATAGCATTGCAACAGTTCGACTGTTTGTGTGTGAGGYCGGTTTAAAAACAAAACAAAAACAAGTTAACCTGAGCGAGCAATCCCAAGTATGCATGCAAACGGGCGTGTGGGAAACGAGATCAAATGACCAAAYGCACGACGTCTATGTAATTAACACCCCCGCGTACACACAGGTTCATTCCACAATCATTCCTTTGATGATTTAGAAGCCGTGAGACGCAGCAGGAGGAGAGTAAAGATGTCTTCAGACCTTATAGTTAAGTGAGGGCTTCTACGATATCATAAAATTGCAATTACAGTAGAGCGTGGCCTGGTGACCTGGTCTGGGAATGCAAGACAAAACAAAGCATATMATTTCCCAAAAATGCATGGGAGTCTTAAAATGAATCTGGTTGCAGTAATGTTGACCTTTGTGAGTGACCGGGCCACAGCGCAGTGAAAACACACACTGCAGCACAAACACATACARTGGTGGGTGCGTGTTGTTCTCCTGACCTGGGTAATCACAGTGGTGGATCCGGCGTTTCTCCAAGTCGGGATTGTTCCTCCGATTGTAGCGGACGGGCACGGGGTTCTGCACCGCGGCTGCTGTGGAAACTTGAGGAAGAACGGCAGCGGGGCCGCGGACCGGCGTGGGACCCGCGGTGACGGGCAGGGCGAACCCGCCGGGTCCCGGACCCGGCCCGAGCCCCGGGGTGGCGCCGGCCAGCTTGGAGGCGATGGTGGCCGCGTACGAAGGAGGCGGGGACATCGTGTGGAGCAGCTCCTTCCGCCGGTCGGGGCTGCCCGGCTCGGAGTTCGGCGGGGACGGCGGCAGGTAGGGCGCCGGCTGCTGCAGGAAGTGGGGGTGCGCGTACGCCCCGCCGCTCAGGCTGCAGTAGGGCGCCTTGGCGTTCTGCTCTTGTTGGGCCGAAGACGAAGGCGCCGCTGGCAGATTGTGGAAAGGTGCGTGGACGGTGGCGGGAGCGTGCTGCTGCCGTCGGACCTCCATGCCGCCGCCGGTGTGGTGCTCTAGACCCGAGTTCAGGAGCTGGAACAGGGAGCCGCTGCCGTCGTGGTGCAGGTCGTGCTGCTCGTACGGCGACGACATTTCCTGTTTGATGAAGACGTCTGGCAGCGAGTCGTCGCCGCGGCCCCCTCCTGACTGGTTGAAAACACTGGTGAAGTCCGGTAACCCCGTTAACGTCATGTTTATAGCCGAGGCTTCCATCGCAACGCCGCCGGGCCCGTGCCCAGATGTGCCGCAGCTGCTCGCACCGATGGGGCAGTGGCGCTGCAGGTCGGGGGAGAAGCACGAGGAGGCCATTTCAGTTTTAATTTGCACGAGGCCAGCGTGGCTCTGGTGCTGAGGGGGCCGCGCCTGCTCACACGAACCCATCCTCGGGTAGGCCACGTCGGGCAGGTAAATATTCATGTTGAAGGTGTAGGGGGCCGTCGTGTGGTCATCGCCGAAGAACTGATCCACCGCAGACGTACCGTCTCTGTGCGACTTCTGCTGGCTGTCCGCGTGAGGTGGAAAGGAAGGAGGCTGGGGGGAGAGATACCGGTCCATCTCACACTTTTCCTGAGCGGGAAAAACAAAACAAACAGTACTTTCATGAAAAACGACTGCCAGAACAGAAATCAAGTCAAGCACGAGGTCATGGCGAGCTCCCAGGAGCAGAAAGTTTGATAGCACAGTCACTCCTGAAACATTTACCAAGTAGTCATCAATAGGCAGCTGCAACATTCCCTCTGTGCCTGCAAAGCTGAACTCAGAAACCTGTCCTCTGTGAGGCCATTATCAGACTACATAGTTCGGTGTAAACAAAAACACAAAGCCTTTATTTAAATGAGAAACTTGGCACACGTAATARTACTAAAGCTGTTCAATGTCACTTCAGGTCTCCTTCAGGCTGTGCTATAAAAGTTAGATAAGCCCTGCAGCAGAGGATGAAACAGCATCATGAAAGGGAATGGGGAAACACCCATGTCTCCCTGTCTGCAGCAGCAGCAGCAGCAGCAGCAGCAGCAGCAGCAGCAGCAGTCTGGGGATGGGCTGCTATTTGAGGCTCCTGATCCCACCAGCTGTTCCTCTGCTGCTGCACAAGTTTCCTCCCAACCGAGGAGGAGGAGGAGGAGGAGGGTGGTGGTGGGGGAGTTAGTGTTGCCCGGGACATTTCTGTCCGAAGCTGGAGCCAGTTGTCGTCAGCGGCGGTATGATGGTGTGAGACAGACCCAACAACTGGTGTCCAACTGGCAGGCTGGCACCGAAAACACGCGGTGAATGCGTTTGCAGGCGGAACGGATCGGGCACACGTCCAGCTGTTTCACAGCCTGCTCGTTTTTTTAATAATATTTATTGCCCCCAAAATAGCACAAATAAAAGAAAGGCTACAGCACGTGATGATTAACAAACCCGGGGGTAGATTCGGAGGCCAGAAAATAAATAATAAATAAATAAATAAAAAGCAACAACCTGAGAACACAACTGCCACGCCCATTCAAAAGGAACGACACAACATGTGAAGATTTCTGACATTACCTGCGTGTAGTCATGCTGCTCCGCCTTGGTCGCATCCGAGATCTTGCAGTCCAAGCCGAACAGCACCGAGTCCTCCAGGGGGAACCCGGTCGCCTTCTGCAGCGGATAGAAGGGGACCTCCTGCCCGCCGCTCATCGCCAGTGTCGCCGCCATGAAGCTCCGACGCAGCAGCCCGAGCCGTCTCCCGTCCTGGTTACGCAGAAGGGAGGAGGATGCCACGGCGCGCTGAGAGGAGGGTAGAGCCGGAGAGGTGCAGTGCGTGTCGCGGAGTAATTAACGTGTGCCTGTCGGCAACATCTCCTTCCACTTGTTCCATCCCTCCGGCCCGCAGACACTTTTCTATCTCTCCCCTCCTTCGCAGGGCGGAGCGGGCCCAATGTAAATACACAGCAAGCACCGCCCACCTAAACCCTCCAAAACGCTTTGATTATTCATTCACCGGCCACCGCCCAAAGCTCCATCTAAACCCATTAACAGCGCTGTAAAGTGTGCACGACCGGCCCAACAACAGAAGTCTGCTTAAATAATAAAATAAAATAAAATAACGAACAAAATTGTTCACATTATTTTCATATCAACTTGTGAAATTATTTAAGATATCTGATCTAGTTTAAAATAAAATTTACCAACTTACAATTTACCTTTAGCAGCTGTTAAATGTGCTAATTCAAATCAATTTTTTAAAAATTGATTTAAAGGAGACATATAATGCTACTGAATTATTTTTCACATTTAAATTCAGTGTAATCAGTGCAAGGTGTAGAATAATATGGTTTTATTCATGCATTTTTACTGCGTGGAGCTTTATGAAATGCAAAGTTGCATTTAAAATCGAATCATGTCTCTATGTGTGTTTGAGGTTTTTCCAGAAACAGGTTGTTATATTTTAAYGAATTGATCCATCTACAACTCAGCTTTTAGAATTTATTTCAAGATGGCCGCCACAGCTCAGAGCCAACACATAACTCGGTCCCTTTTACAGACATTGTGCTAAACTTTGGTGCGGTGGTAGCTGAGAATCATCCTCAGGTATACTCCAAATGCTAACTGTTCAGGATCTCTCATTTGTTTGTTAGCGAAACACCCCATGAATCACTGGGTGGACTTTAGTGAAACTTTCTCCGAGCACAAACATCTATGGTTTATTTCCTTTGAGCCACATAATATATTTAAAATTGTGCGAAAAGCTATTTTATGTGACAATTTCAATCGTGTGAAAATCRGAGATTTTAATACATAACATTTGAACTAGATGAAGATAAATGCAATAAATATTTGAGCATGATTTTGTTTAGAAAACTAGAAGGAAAAAAACATGAAAAAAGGACAACATTGCTTTCCAGAGACCATGTGGCTGAGTTTAATACGACACCATTAAGAACATGGACTTAAATGATAAAGGTATGCMTACTATGTCTATATTTAAAGCCAAAGAGCTTCAGCTCGTGCAAATCAAAGTCTAAGGTTTCTGCTGTGTTGTTGGACTGTAGCAACCACTGTGTGGAGGCCAGAAAAAGATGAGGAAATAATAATAGACAGACTCAATAAAACACAGCACTGGCAAGAAAAAGGCATTTTTGGGCAGACAGTTAGCAGAGAATGTGTACCCTGTCGACTATAATACATACGTACGACTTTACACCAGCATGAACAGAATTAATCTTCTTGGTGAAATTTCGACAAAATACTCAGACACGGGTAGCATTTTATCTTTGCTTTTGTATTTAAAGGTTCTTTAGGTGTGAGGGGGAAAAAGAGTAATTTACAAATTTAAAAACAGCCTAAAAATAAATTAGAAAAGTACACGATCCAATTGAGCACAGTAGTGACGCAAAGCCTCATTTTGGTTTCGGCTGTAGCTTCTGGTACCAATCAGGAACGTCTTTCTTGGTCTGCAAGCAAAAACAGAGGGCAGAAAGAAATGATAAAAGGTAAGAACACCAGGAATTGTCCACATATCTGAGTTTAAAAGTTSTACAGCGTATCATGTGAATGTAACTAACTGAGAAAAGGCAATTATTACTATTTTTACTCCTTTGTGGGAACTTCTGTCCTAGCAGGTTAAGTTGGTGTGAGTCATAAAAAAAGGGTGGTGTCGACACTTACAAAAACAGTAGGTTTGGGCTTGTTTGGTGATTCTTCCTCGACAGTCCTGTTGATACGTTTGCTCTGCTGTTTTCCTGTTCCCGAGCTCTTCGTCCCACCATGATCGGTTTCTAACGCGGCTAAAACCTCCCCCTGACTGGACCGCATGCTGATTAGAATCTGCTTCATCATAGCCAACTCCTGGTGAACCAGATATTCCATAATAAAAAAATACAGAAAAAGACATGAAAACAAGAGTAAAACAATAAATAGACAGGGAGTGGATTCTGTTAGTAGAGTTCAAAAGGAACTGTTTTCTAAAGACGTATAATAAATGAATCTCCATCTCTTATCGTATTTGCTTAAAGATGTTTGTTTTCTAGATTCCGTTATCGGACAACTGGCAGTAAAGTTCAACAAGCTCAAGGGTCTGCAGCGGTGGTAGCAGCAGGACGGAGGGGCAGCTCCAGGCCGTTTCACGAGTCTATTTAGCACTTCTGAAGACATGAGCCTCAGCATGTCACATACACTCATACACACATCCTAATGGAATCCTAAACAGCCTAGCAGGGTAACAGCTGTCTATGACTGTGCACATACTTCATAAAACCAAATGGCCGGCTTGAGGGACGCACTCCTATGCACACATGAACACACATTCACCCACACAGGCTTAAAGGACGCATTGCAACATGAAGCAATCAAGTTTCCGGCGTGATAAAGCAATTAGCCAAGCTTATCCACGACCTGATAAAGAGAAACCAGATAACCGACTACCTTAAAAGTCATAAAGTCCTTTTCTTTGTTTTTAAGCAAAAACAGGTCCCCACATGTGAGAATTTAGTTTATTGTCTTAGATCACAATAAAACTTTTTTAGGTTTGGGGGTTTGATGAAAAACACTTTGGTAAAACGTGCAAATAGTATAAAAGTAGACTGAACAACTTATTGAAAAATGTATCAAGGAGGATTTAAAACATGACGTGATGACAAAAAATCCCACTTAGCACTTAGATAAAGGGTAGATTTTAATTTATGTTCACATTAGGGTTGGGCGATAAATCAATTTAATCGATTAATTCGAATTTGCCATTTATAAAGATTTAATTTWGGGAAAATCGAGATTTTTTTCCCCACCAGTGCACACTTTGGGGCTTCTGTAGTTCAGAGGTCACCCCACCTGACCCTCAAGATGCTTGGTACACAACATGACAATATGGCAGCTGGCAAAGAGGATCTACTTCTCAAAATAGGCAGTGTTTCTTCAGTTTTCTGGAACTGGTTAGGTTTTGCAACCTCAGACTTGGAGCAACGAACACCTCACTGCAAAATCTGTTTGAAGGCTCTTGCTACACAAAGCAGGAGTACAATAAATTTGTTTCAACACCGGAAACCGATGCACTCCGTTAAGAGGGAAACAAAATCGATAAAATCGAAAATCAAATTTGGGATGAAAAAAAAATCAGAGATTTGTTTTTTTGGCCATATCGCCCAGCCCTAGTTCCTTGCACAAAATTCTTTGATTCGATTGAAATGTATTTGGATTAAACAATCCAAATGTTCCATTTACATGGGCACAAAATTAATTAATCTGATCGCGATCGTGTTTGCATGCACCAGGTTTATTTTCAGAACAGAAACTGTAAACTTGCAAAAGAAAAACAAAACAAAACAAAACAAAAAAAAAAACACAGAGGAAGTTCCGTGAAGAACATAAACTAATAGTTTTCTGAGCGCACAGAATGGACCGGTGCCAGGTTTTAATACAGGTGGAGATGTTACCACACTCACTGATTGAGCTGCAGATGAAGCGACGTATGCTTTTTTTTATTTTTTTGTCTAACAACATATGCTGTTTGTCTTCATTCTTGACTGCAGAGAGTGGGAGGAAAGAAACATCCTTGAAAGTTCAGTGCTGCTGGCAACTGTAACGCTGCTGCCCCTCCCTCCATAAAAGACCAGAAACCGGTGGATGAAAGTCAGAAGTCGTGTGTTTTCCACAACCAGAATAACATGGTCAGAATAAATGTTTACATGCACACCGTTCGGATCATCAATCGGCATAAGCCACCCCTCTCAGTTAGACAGCAAATTCATTCCAATCGAGCTGAATCCAATCAGAATGTTCCGACTGGAACATTTACCAAATTAACAAATTTTTATTTTGATTGGATGTTTACTCCGACTTTATTCATACTTGATTATTAGAAACATATTCAGCTAATGAAGCAATAAGGAACTAATTAGTGATTAGGACTCTGTAAAACTGAAAGGCAAACTTGTTCATCATCCTTGTTTGTACCTCTCTGTTGTTGAGAAGTCGCTCCAGGTCGGCTGCCATGTTGTTTTTCACCTGTTGCAGAACGTTACGCTCTTTCCTCAGAGAACTGGTGTTACATGAGAAAAGAGGTGAACGTCAAACACATGGATATTAATACATTTACAGCAGATGATTTATTGATGTATTACTGTAGGACAGAGTTTAGTGAAGCTTAAGGGTGTTATTAAGTGCTCATTGATTTATGTGTTTTTCTTTAAACAGCCTAACACTCTTTATGTGTGCATCAATTTTAGGATATATTGGACGTTTTTGACAGGGTGAAACCAGAGTATGGTCAAAGCTGCTAGTTTAAGAAAAAACAAAGTTATTTTCATACCTTAGACAAGTACCAAACATTAATTACTGTAGTATGAAGGGTGCATTTTAGTACTAAGAAAGAAATCGGCATCTGGACAAATTAAGCACATAATTGATTCATTTCCTAAAGAAAACAACAACAATATAGSACTGTTAAATACTTCTTTCCTGTGGCAGCACGAGCCAGAACTTGTAGCAGCAAACTTTAAAGCACAATCACCTCGAATCAATCATAAAAATACAGACATCYTCACTACAGTTCACTGAAGAATTTGAGGGGAGGGTAAAAAATGATTGGTCTTCTWTCAGAGAGAATTCAGAAAACACAAAATGACAAATCTCCTGTGAGCTGTGTCTCTGCTGGTAACAGATAGTCCTGCACAGCCACAGGGAAACTTCAATATTCCTGACAGATRTAAGAAGACTTGAGAAGCTTGACAACATTTCGAAAAAGAAGAAGAAAAAAAAAAAAGAAATCTCCCCCTCCTCTCCTGCTTGCCCCAGGTGAGCGCTGAGCGGTAGCGAGCAGCAAGAGAAAACCTGCAGTCTGTCAGTTTGCATATTTGTCAAGAGGGCAAAAACAGACATTTAGGTCAGTGCCAGGCTATGGGACATAAAAAAATAAAATTGAGAAGGACAGATGAAGACAGGAAGGGGAAAAAAAAAGAAAAACAGAGTCGTTCAAGGACAGCAACGTTTGGCAGTATATAAAAAAAATTATATTAACTTGTGGGCAAGGCAGTGTGTACCTGACGTCGTCCTCAAGAGAGGAGACATGCTCCTTCAGCCTGCTGATCTGTGCATCTCTTTCTTTCACTGTCTCGATCAGATAGCTGTGAGGCTGCTGCGCCTGCTGCAACAGCTGGTTGGTTGCGGATAACTAAGGAACACAACACACAAAAAGATATTAGGATCTGGGGTTACAGTTTGAGTGAGTGAAAATATTTCATTAGCTGCCTCCACAACAGCAGACAAAAATACTAATTTCTTAGAATATAAAGTGTAATAAAAGTAAAGTTTTATCTTTATTGTCCTCTATCAAAGGCGAAGGGGGAGTGGTAATGTCTTTGTCCATGTCTCTGATTGTGTGCATGTGTGTTTGCTTGTCTGTGCCGATAAAAGTGAATCACCACTTTCAGAAAATCATTGAAATAATGAATTAACTCCATTTCAAGATGTCCACCACAGCCARCTGACATTAGCCAACACAAAAACGGCTGTAGCAAACCTACAGCTAAAATCTCATGATATCACGAGATTATGCAAAATGATATTTTCAAGATTTGACCAAAACAGCTACAATTCCATCAGCATAAGATGATTTTAGTTAAAGTCTCCTGCATTMAATGGGACATATCATGCAAAAAACACTATTTTAGCCGTTAAATTAATATTGATGTGTTTGGATTTGTCATTTTCAGACCTTCTGGAAAATAAAATCACATATAGGTCGCAAAAAAAATGGATTTGGGTCGCATTTGCCTGCAGTGTGAATGTAGCCAAAGAGACAGCCTCAAAATGAGTTGATCTGAGACACATCTTAGAAAAGGGGTGAAAAAGGGGCTTGTGGAGTTACAAAAGGAGGATTTCAGACCAAAGCATTGCAATGCCACTTTATATAGACCCCAACTGAATGATTTAAATGTGAAAAAGACAGATTTAAAAGCATAATATGTCTCCTTTAAATGCATTATTTTGAGAAATTTTGCTAGTTGTTTTATTTTCAGCGGCCCCCTTCTGCAGGGGTCACMACAGTGATAAAACTCTCACTTGGCAATTGTTTCTTGTCGGATGCAACCTGGGTTTGAACCTGAAGCCTCAGTACCACTACACTGACCACCAAACTGCTGTGGCCCCCATTCCTTTAAGGCAGGGCTATTCAACTGGCRGCCCGCAGGCCAAATCCGGCCCACGAGTGACCAAATTTCGGCCRACCAATTGGTYCATTCATCTCTTAAGCCCAAACCCCCGGTTTTCTACTTTAATTTCTCTGAAGTTCTTTTAGTTAAACATAGACATGTTTGGTATCTACAGAAAGTCAGAAGGCTACAAGTTGGTAAAAAAAACATTTCTATGCACACTCAAGACAKTTAAATCTACAAGCAGTTGAAGATAAAACTATGAAAATAAAAATAAATTTGGTTTAAAAACTAGGCAATTCAGAGACGTCAAAATATTATTTGTGTCAAATATGAGGCTTAACGTGTTATTTTTGGTTTTGGTGTTTTATCCTCACAACATTTGGCAAAATTGTTAAAGAAATATGACATTTTTAAATTAGCATTTGTACGAGTTACTGTTTGAGGAGTTGGATTTTTTTTTTAAATTTGGTTTAATTATTATTTTTTTAATTATATTTTTTATTTGGTTTTATATTTAGTTTGAAATTAATATCGATTTTTTTTTGTAAATAGGAGCAGATATCAAGATTTTTTTCTTCCACTACCTTTCATTTTATTTTATTTGTATTGTTTTATTGTATGTAATGTGTTTTGTTTTGTTTCTTAAAATGAAATGAATAACCTTTTTTTGCTTCATTTATTACATAGGGTTCTGTATGTTGTTTCCATGTTTAAATGCAGCAAAATAAACGATTTCAAAGGTAACAGATCTTTGTGACACTTGGTTTATTTACATAATGAGTTTAATTGCTGGATGTTCGGCCCCTGAGCCGTTGATCTGCAGTAACTGTGGCCCCCGAGGCAGCTAAGTTGGATAGCCCTGCTTTAAGGAATGCTAGGCTATAATAGATTTACTGAAATCTTTTACATCACTTCYGCTTGAAATGAGCAAGGCAGATAAAGTATAGGTGTTACATATTAAACYGCTTTTACTGCCAGCCGGTGAGTGAGTGGAAGTGGGTGTGTGGGTAGGGACAACAGTGAGTGAGTAAGTCAGGACGTCTGTGGGTGGTTAGATGGTTAACACCCTGGCTTTATCCAGTGAAAAGAAAATGCAATTTTTCACTCTTTTCTCTTTCATACTTGATGAATCATGAGGTATTCTGGACGAGCTCCAGTYGATCACATCTGACAGTTGAAAGGATGGCTTATTTAGTCTTCAGGTCTGCCCAACCACCTCCACTCTGCCTTGCACCACCTCGTCCCRTTCCGATTTTAATAGGCAGAGAGGGAAACGGCGAGCAGAGTGGCTGCCGCGGCCACCAATCTAATCGCTTCACCCGTCACCAGAAAAGCTTTAAACTTGAACGCACGAGTGTCAGACATGTGCTGTCTGAAAGTAACTCAAAGGAGGAGAAGAAAAAAAAAAACATGTACGCCCAAAATTAAACTGTACGCACTGTATGTGCACATGATGTGCCAAGCACAACAAAAGCTCAATGACTGCTGCGGTGGATTGTTTGTGAAGTGAAGAGCGTTTCAGTCACGGTTTTTTGACTCTGTTTTCCGCTGTGTCAACAACCCAGACAGGTACCAAGACTAACTTGATGCTCTTCTGGTACAAAGTCTGGTTGTGTCTATTGTCTGCCCTTAAACAAGCTGTCACTTTTCCAGGCTTCATTTTCAAGATAGAAAAACAAGCRATGGCTGAGAATCTCTGTGATGAGAGAGCCAAGGTGAGTGAGTGTAACGCAAAAGTTTAAAAAGACCTGGAAACATTCATTTAAACAAAATGACATTGAAACTTTTTTTTTTGTTTGTGCGATACACAGTCAGCAGTTTTTTTCAAAAGCTCTTGGCTGTGGCCAGCTGACTGTTCCACAGATCTTGGAGAACTTCCCACAGTTCTTCAAYAGATTTAGGATGCCTTTATGTAATCGCAGACTGACGCAACAATGCGATAATCTGTGGCTGACATAACATCTGTGGCAGGAACTGCTGCTCTCCAACTCACTCAGGATCGTTCTACTCCCCGTCATGCTATGACTTGTGAGGTGCTTCAATCTTTTAACAATTAAAAAAAAAAAAAAAAGGGTACCACAACCGGGGATTAATTTCGAAATCTTTCTTCATCATCCAAGTGTGGTTTAATGAGGTCGTTACAGTTACGACTGAACCAACAGGCCGCCAGCTGTTTTCTAAACAAACTTGATATGTAAATATAGTTGCGTTTCTAAGTGGCTGATGGGAAAGCAAATGCTCTTATATTTCGAATATGTTTACAATAAAGTGAGCACTACATGTACGGTAAATAAAATGCAAAAGTTGCAACAACTCATACACATGACCCCCAGTGGATTACTGGGGGTCATGTGGGTCATTACTTTCAAATATATATTTTCCAAAAGTAATCAATAGGTTTTGTTTTTCTTAAATTCAGTTTGCAAGTAAACATCATTAATGTTATAAATTAAAAAAAAGAAAGAAAAAAGTCTGCATCCTGGTTAGCTTTTGATTGACATCTCACTTGGAGTTCTGTCATGTCCACGTGCAACAAAAACCAACAAAAGCCTGTGTTGCAAGAAAGCACACGCACCTCCTCAGCTGTGTGTACATTGAGCCACCTGCGCTTTTCAGCACTGATTCATCCAACAGCTGAAGAAATCCTGAAATGAAAGGCCTAGCATTCCTTGAAGGTATGCGTGTCACATGAGCAAAAAACATTATCGCTCTTCCTTTTTCTTGAGTGGCGGGCAATCAGGAGATGCTGYTTTAATGAGCTGAAACTCCCCCCGCTTCCAACTTTCTAAGGTTAAGAAAGGAATAAAACAACAATAAAAGTAAAAGTTCACTTCAGGCCTAARGGGGATACTGTGAAAATGACTTTGTTGTAGCCATCTGTAAACATTTGTTTACAAAAACAATAGCACAGAAATCAAATGCTTCAACTTCTGCACAGGAGGGGTCAAATTTCCTGGCAGGTAAATTCTGTTTTGTCCAGTTAGGCTTTAATACCTCATCTGCAGACTTCTTGGTCATTTATGAAGGCAATTGCTGTGCAAAGAAAGTATGGTGTAAAAAAAAKTATGAAAAAAATTCATCAAGTTAGTGGTGTCCCAATATCGATATCAGCATTTTGTACAAGTGTTCGTAAGCATTCACACCATACAGATCATCCATTTTTATTCCATGCGTTTATTAGCAGGTATTTGATCCACAATTTTTGTGCCGTTTCAACAAATCATATATCAAAACTTTTGGTATTTCAGCAATTTATACTTTTTAGCTATTTTATCTATTTGGCCATTTTTGTTCTCACTGAAGATTAATGTAGTTGTTCCCAACATCCTTAAAATCCTTCAGAATAGTTAAACATTTCCTGTACTTTTCACCTTTTGCTCTGGTACGGCTTTTTTTTTTAAATCTAATTTTAGCTTCCTTCTACTTCTCTTTTTGAATGAATGAATGAATGAATGAATGAATGAATGAATGAATGAATGAATGATCCCATCCCATTTTGCTAATTTGAGCTTTTTTTTCTTACTGCTCTTTTCAGTATTTCTGCTCATTTTTGTGCTTCCTTCAGCTTCTTTCTGCTAATTTAAGCTTTTTGTGTTTTGTCAGCTGTTTGATACAATTTAAGCTACTTTTGAGCTATTTTCAGCTAAATTCACATTTCTATCATAATTTCAGCAATGTACTGCTTAATTCAGCAAATGTGCTCGTTCTGCTTCTTTGTGTTATATTCAACTATTCAGCTACTTTTCTTTTAATTTCAGCTTTTTTTGGCTATTTTACAACAAAATGCAAAATCTTTTTTTTTCCTGGCAAAACGTTTTCGGCGGTAAGCCGAATCTGGTTTATTTTAAAACATTGCAACAATATATATATTGTGCTGTATATTTGTTTTGATACAATCAGAGGGGCTGTAGGTCTATAAGGAAGGAGAGCTACTGTGTTCTAAATAAAATATATGTTTTTTCAAGTCATTGAATAATGCTTAGGTTCTAACTCATTAAGTACTCTGTATCAGTACYCGGTATTAGCAAGTACCCAAACTGAGGTACTCATACTCGGTTTGTCAAAAACTGCTATTGAGACACTCTTAATAACCATCATGTCTGGCTCTCTTTACCGACAGTTTCATGAGTTGGAGGTTATGGCTCGTTGTAATAAATCACAGTGACTTTGAGTGAAGCCGCAGAGCAGCTATAATCTGAATTACTGTGGGAGAGTTGTGGTGGTGGGAAAACAAGCGTGTTTGGCATGTGGGGACTTGTCTTGTTTTAATGAAAATTAATAATACATTAAATTTGATCCTAAATAGTGATCATCCTAAGGCAGACACACACACCAGGGAGCTGTGTGTCTCTGTGTGTTTGCACCTCTTGAGATATTTGTCCCGCCTGTGACTTGTGCCTCTCCAGCTCTCTCCTCAGTGATGTGTTCTGCCTCTCGAGCTGTAGCACCCTGCGGGCCAGGTGAACACTGCACAACCACAAAAAAACACAGTTATTGAAATTTCAAAACATGACAACATTAACAAGATCACACTTGTGTCTACTTCCATGTTATTTCTTCCAAAGTTTATGTCATCGAACCGGTGGAATAAGTTAGCGTGTATCGCTGCATAAAACAGTTACAATTATTTGACACCGAATGATGTCACGGTTTCTTAACTGTTAAAAGCACAACCTATGATTAAAWAGCTACTGGGATTTTAAAGGAAAATCTTGTGTTCAGGATGCTTTAAACATGTTTTTGTTGTCCATGCAACATCTGTGTGTACACTTGTATTTATTTCCACTAGAAAATAATCCAAATGCAGATGTGTGTGACAWTAATAGTGCTAAAACATAATTAATAAAAACGTGAAACAAGGATGAAGGGTTGGAAAAAAATAAATAAAACATTAAGGTCCCATGTAGTTTAAAGGAAGCTTTCTAACAAGAAGCCTTACAGTGGATGAAATGTTTTATGTATCATACTCTACCTCTGTTTAAGTCTTCGTTTTGCTGTTGTGGGGACATTTGCTCCGTAGCCATATGAAAACAGAACTCTCTCTGCCTCCTCCTCATCCTCAACTGACGACAGATAGACAAAGAGTGCATAAAYCTCCAGGAACATTCTGACCAAAGTGATTCATTTTGTTGCTCTTTATGCGAGTCACACATTAACAAATGAGTTGTAACAGTTTTCTGAACTTAAAAGCTCTTTCTAACTGAATGTGATGATTTGCTTCACCTCAGTAGATTTGAACCTCATCAATGTTTTTTTTTTTTTTTTTGTCTTTCTGACTTCAGTGATTTCTAGCTCTTACTTTCAGCTGCCTGCATGGTGACCTGGTCCAGCTCTTGCTCAAGCTTTTCATACGTCTCCAGACGAGATGCCCACTCGGCATTCTGAGCTTGAAGCTCCGCCACCCGCTTCTCAGATGACGTCTGTAGCCTGTAAAACTCCTGAGTGAGAAGCTGAGCGACGAATAAAAAAGGAAAACAAGCAGTTAATAATCAGCAGGATGAATTGAATGGAAAAAAAATATTGTATTCGTTTTGTCTCAGATTATAAATACATGAACTTAAATATGCAAATTATTAATTAAAATATTTTTTTTTCAAAGTTTTTATTTTAAAGGGATCCATGATTAGTTGTAACATTAGACTTTATTTGATAAACATAAATTTTAACTGTAAAATAAAAACTGTAAAAATACTGTAGGATGTTCAGTTTTTATCTTTTTTAAAACTAAATGTTTAAAAATATATTACACGGACGGGGCCATTTTATTTTCACATAAAGCATTCTGGGTAAATGATGACATGGATAGGTCCTCGGTGCGAGGATGCTAGCGAGCTATATCCACCCTGAAGGTTAATCTTGGACAATATCTGATGATTGGCTCTTTTAAATGAAACCAGAGAGCGTTGACAGAGAGGAGAAGGTAAAAATGACTCAGCCTGCAACTGAAAATATGGATGGAGGACCTCAGTTTAGCTTGTCTGTCACGCTAGCGCCGAGCTAATACATATAAGGCAATATAGCGTCGGCGCTAGCGCAAAGGCTAACAGGCTAAGCTGAGGTTCTTCTTCCATGATGCAGCTCTGTTGTCCTCCATCCATATTTTCAGTTACAGGCTGAGCCGTTTCTACCTTCTCCTCTCTGTCAACACTCTCTGGTTTCATTTAAAAGAGTCGATCATCAGATATTGTCCAAGATTAATCTTCAGGGTGGATATAGCTCGCTCACATCGAGGACCTATCTACATCATCATTTACCCAGAATGCTTTGTGTGTAAATAAAATGGCTCCGTCCATGTTAAAATACATTTTTAAAATTTTACAAAACTAAACATCCTACAGTATTTTTACAGTCTTTATCAAATAAAGTCTAATGTTACAACTAATCAGGGATCCCTTCAACAAAATTACAGGAAAAATCCCAAAGTTAAACACTCTCTTTAATATGAAACCATTTAATATGAAACCATTTAATATGAAACCAACTAGTTTTTTAAAGTAGTTATAATCACAACCTACTCTAAACGGTTACAAGCAACATTTGTTTACTAATTACTTTCAATTTACTTACAGCAAAAACTTCTAAATGACGTCAGGCAGAAAAAAATGTATTTCATGTTTGTGCCTGACATTGTAAAAACATTATCACCCAGCAGAAAAGCAATAATTTACTCTGCATCTCGAATGGTTGTGCATTCAGATGGTTAATAAAACGTGCAATAAACGTGTCACTCAGGTGTGTCTGAACCATGTTCATGTCTAAGCAGTGATGTAGCTCAAGTCAAATGAATTTACGATTTAAAAAAAAAACCTCAGTAAACCTGCAGATGTCCTGGTTGTTGCTCGGCTGACAGCTGAGCGTGTGACGATGGCTGCATGTTTATTTGCACATCAAGGTAACCGCATGGAAGGACGTCTTGTTATAATGGTTTAAATATAGGTAATGAGAGCTCTCGTGTCTTCTTCATGTGAGCTGTTGGTTACTCTCGAGGGATAATGAAAATATAAACACACTATTAAATAATAAGCAGAAGCTATTGTTCAAACATATATAAGCAGTTTTTATTTGATTACTTGGATTGGATGCTGAGAATTAGAAAAAAAATATTGTAGTGACACCTGCAATTATTTTGACTGCTGTTTGAACTTGTTTTGAGTTTAAATGATGTGTATGTTAGTATAAACTGTGAACATTATGTGTAATAAATCAACAATATGAAATATTCAGATGAAACTTTTCTTTTTTTTATTACACTGATTAAAAATTCCTCAAATGCTCTTTTCTGATCATAACATTAGGTGTTAATGCCAAACCCAACAGAGTGACACACTTCCAAGTTGGTTTTCATCCAAATACCGTACCTCCAGTTTCTTCTGCTGTTTCTCACACTCCAGCTGGCACTGGCCCAGGGCCTTCGCCGTCTCTTCCTTGAGCATTTGAGCTCGCTCGGCTTCAAAGGAGTGCAGCTTGGCCTGGTTGGACAGTTCTGTGACTCGGCCGTCGGTGCCCAGCTGGAGCTGACGATACCTAGAAGATGAGCAGATAAGCCAGGGCGTAGAGTCACACATGTTCCGACACAGCTAGAAGAGGGTGAATCGAAGGGAAATAATTTGGCAATTTTAAAAAGAAAAAAAATACAGCGGGTAAAATAAGTATTGAACACGTCAACATTTTTCTCAGGAAATATATTACTAGAGGTGCTAATGACATGAAATTTTCACCAGATGTCGGTAACAACCCAAGTGATCCATACATACAAATGTCCAGAAATGAAGTTATTTGTAATAATGTGGAATGGCACAGAGAAAAAGTATTGAACACACTTACTGAAATTTATCTAATAC